ACCGACCCACAAATCAAGGAAAATTTTTATGACTCCCTATACTCTGTTTTAAATAAATGCCCTAGAGGTGAAATAAAGCTCGTCATGGGAGATTTCAACGCACAAATCGGGCCAGATAACAATGGAAGAAAGCAAGTGATGGGTAAACATGCTCTCGGCACAATGAACGATAATGGGGAGCGTTTCTATGAATTATGTAACACCATGGGCCTCACCATAGGAGGTAGTCTCTTCCCGCACAAACATTTGCATAAAGTCACTTGGGCTTCCCCAGATAATGCAACAGAAAATCAAATCGACCACATTGCCATCAGCAAAATGTGGAGACATTCATTATGTGATGTCAGAAATAAAAGAAGTGCAGACATGGCTTCTGACCACCATCTACTAATCGGTGAAATACAACTCAAATTAAATGCGGTCTTTAGAAAGCCACAATTCAAAAGGAAACGGTTCGACCTCGCCAAACTCGACAACCCTACTGTTCAAAATAACTATCAATCTCTTTTATCGGCCCAAATCCCTAATCCCTTGCCACTAGAAGAAGAAATCTTTGAAGCCGAAACTTATTGGGAACAAGCAAAATGTGCCTTCACTGAAGCAGCACAACAAAGTGTCGGTATTCCTCAACGTCAAAATAATCCGTGGATCACCGAACATACATGGAATCTTATAAAAGCGCGCAAAGGAGAAAAAGAAAAGGTTAACAGGGCAAGAACGCGCCAAACAAAGCAGCAGGCACAAGCCAACTACAGTATTGCCAACCGCAAAGTTAAACGCAGCGCTAGAGCCGATAAGCGCAGATGGCTCGACAATTTAGCAACAGAAGCTCAAAAAGCAAGCGAATCACATAGGCTCAAAGACCTACACAACATCACTAAAGCTATGGTGGGACGTAAACACAGGATTGCAAAGCCAATAAAAAATACCAGAGGCGAACTAGTACACTCTACCGAAGATCAGCTAAAAGTTTGGGAAGATCACTACAGAAATCTCCTAGCGGGAAACAACACCTATCCTCAGCAGGAACTATGTAGTAGACACCACGAACATGTTGCTCGCAACGATATAAACACAGATGTACCTAACATCAGTGAAATTGAGGCAGCAATAACTCAGCTTAAAGCAGGTAAGTCCGCTGGTCCGGACAATATTGCCCCCGAACTGCTCAAAGCAGACAAAATTTCAGCTGCTCAAATTATTCAACCAATTGTCAACAACTTCTGGTCCCAAGAGTCATTACCGCCTAATCTTAAAGACGGCATCATTATTAATATACCAAAGAAAGGTAACCTGATGGAATGCTCCAACTGGAGAGGCATAACTTTACTAAATGTAGCTTATAAAGTTATTGCTCAAATCTTACATAAACGTTTAACTTCGGCCGTTGAGCCTACACTACGAGCCGAGCAAGCAGGATTTAGGCATATTCGATCATGTGCCGACCACATAAACAGCCTTCGAATAATAGTCGAACAGTCTAGCGAATGGCGATCTCCCCTATACTTGCTGTTTATCGACTTTAAACGTGCATTCGATACACTTCTCCATACCACCATCTGGTATGCATTAGAGTGTAAAGGTATACCGAGTAAATTAATAAATTTAGTAAAAGGCTTGTACTCTGACGCGCACTGCTCAGTACTTCACGAAGGGCGTCTCAGCGGGCAAATCCAAATTAAGTCTGGCGTCCGACAAGGTTACATTCTTTCACCTATACTATTTAATATAGTCTTAGATGTGGTTATGTCGGAAGCTATGAGCACAAATCATGGCATATCATTCGGCCTTCATAACAAACTTACTGACCTCGATTACGCTGATGACATCTGTTTACTAACGCATAACTTTTCCCAGATGCAAATATCGTTAAACAACATCGCAAAGCGTGCATTGGCAGCTGGTCTGTCAATCAATATCAACAAAACCAAGTCTATGCGTCTCAATTCAAACTGCTTAACGAAGTTTCAACTAGATTGCTCCTACATCGAAGATGTACAAAGTTTCTGCTATCTGGGAAGCTACATTTCGAACAACGGCGGCAGTCGGCAAGACATACAGTACAGGCTATCGAAAGCGAAGCAAGCGTTTGGAACCCTTAACAAAATCTGGCGTTCATCCAACATCACACAACGCACTAACATACACCTGTACAATGCAAACGTAAAATCAACTTTACTATATGGTAGTGAGAGTTGGAACCTAACGGCAAGAGACGCACAACAGCTACAAGCCTTTGCCAATCGTTGTCTACGACGCATCCTTCATGTATTCTGGCCAGCAACCATAACCAATAATGAGCTCTGGTTTAGAACGAATCAGCCTCTAATAACTGATGAAATAATGATGCGCAAATACAAATGGCTTGGCCACACGTTAAGAAAACCCGCTGATGATATCGCAAGAAATGTCTTAGATTTCAACCCTCAAGGCAGTAGAAGACCAGGGCGTCCGCGCAACACTTGGAAACGACAAACTGAAGCCGAATTAAGAAATGCTGGAAAGACAAAACGTCTTGCATTAGATAGAGTTCAATGGAAACTATTTGTTACGGCCCTCTGTTCCACCTAGGAATAAAAGGATTAAATAAATAATAATATTTAAATTTGCTTAAGAGAGCACGTGTTGCCTCTACTATCAAGTTGACAATCCAAAACCAAAGCAAGTATCCTGCTCTGGATATATGGCCTAATTAATGATCGAAAATGAAAATATTCGCCATGAAGTCATTTGTTTATATTTCACCTGAATTAAATTCAATTAAGCGTTCATTCCCACATTTGTTGTAATTGTTGTAATATTTACGCTTATTAATGCAAAATGCAAAATAAAATAATTCGGAATTAAATCCATATCAATGAAGTGTTGATATTGGGTGCAGTGGTGGGTGGCAAGCAGTGCGTGCTTGGAGGTGACAATGGATGAAGGAGAATGGGTTGCGTGCCGGAACGTCGTTCCTGACGTTTGGCTGCCATTTAGTGTGAATGAATGTCTCCAGCGACAGCATTGGAGTGGATTATTGTAATTGTTAATGATGATTGCAGTTGCGATTATTGCGGGATTTAATGGCTTTGGCTGAATTGTAAATTTATTTTATTGGTTGCGGCCTTTTTTGCCTGTCCAAAAATATACAGAAACATTTGTTTGTTTGCTGAATAAACTTTTCGCAATTAAATCAGGCTTTAATTATATGAAAATTTATGTGCATTGATTAATGCAAACTATTGTTGCTGTTATTGTAACATCAAAAATTGTTAACATTTCATTTAATCTTACTTGAGATATTTATGGTTAATATGTTACGTATTCTCACTTGAAGAAAACTCTACTTGAGTTGGCAGTACAATAAAGTCCCTGATTTTTGTTTGCATATAATCCGATATTAAAATTCAATCAATAAGTCGTTGTATGTTTTGTAATCTTTCAATCTCCTTTTTTAACCAAAAATTTTTAATACAAAAAAGTTATATTCCTATCAACTTCCTTCTTATAATTCGATATCTAAAATCGCATTTTAGTATTTCATTTTATTTATTGGAATATGCAAACGAAGGGGCGCACAATTTACTGAAATTACCCTTATAGCCTCTTATTCCAAGTGTCAAATGGAAAAGGGTGTCAATTGCTTGTAATATCCTTTTGCTTGCTTTTATTTTTGCCTCCTCACAGGTTCCTTCGTTAGCTCGCATCACTGTCAACTCAACATGATGCAACATTTCGAGCCGTCACTCAAGTCAATGCCTTGGTGTTGATTATTTTTCTCATAAATAAATATGAAATTCGATCCTTTATACGTATGTCTGTGTGTGTGTGTGTGTAAGTTTTGGCTTATTTCGTAATTCGGAAAGTGTGTCGCACAATTTTTATGATTTTTTCTGTCCGATTTGTAATATTTACTGACTGCAGTCATCGCTGCCTACATGAAGGAATATTTATTGAAATGTTCTCTCTAACACTTTTCACAGCATTTTATTTATTCATTCATTGGGTGATTGGATATTGCGAATACAAATGCGCAAAAGTTAGTCGTTCAGAAAAATCTTGGTTAAAAGTTTATGATTACTGATTTCATTCCCATAATTGACTTTATTAGGCTAATTTGTGAGTTACGTTTCGACTTATCAAACATTATTACGTAGTCCAGCTCCAATTAAGGTCAATAAATCAGGAAAAATTATGATAAATTATAAAATTACTATTTCTCCTTCATCAAGGTCTGTGAATTCCATTCATATGAATTCTCAATATTTAAAGGGAATAATTTAGTATTTATAAAAGTGATATTAAATTTTTAGTGCAGATGTCGTGGGTTATGCATAATATGGCATCAATAGCTGCAAGTGCTATGTAAGCCTTAAAGATTTTCTTATACCAGACTTTTTCTTTTGTAGGTATATCGTAAAAGAACAACCGCTTCTTGAATACCTTTTCAATCATAGTCCCGTAATACTGATTAGCTTTAAGTTGAATTGGTCACCAACTTTGAATATAAACTGATATGTTTACAGTTTACTCTATTAAATTATTGTTATGTGAGTTAACAATTTGCTATACTCACTGATAGAAAAATACAGATGGATCTATAAGTTGACGAAAAATTATTGGAATTGTCAAACTATTTTTTGCAATGTACATATTCACGGAGTGCACATCATCAAAGTGGTGTAATATATGGAATTTTTTCAAACAATTTCTTACTGGAGAAGCCCATTTTTTAATGGCATGAGTGTCAAAGGTAGTACAATATTATTAATTCATTTATCAACTTTTTCAAAATAAGATATTAACTAAACCGTATGGCTACTTACATCCTTTTATAATAAACAGTGTAAATTCATAATATTTATCTAATAAACCTAAAAAAAGAAACATTTAAAATTGTAGTAAAGTTTTGTTTCGAAAAACAGGGATGATTTTATCAAAAATTAAATTGGGTATAGTAGGCTACATCTTTATTATTATTTTTTATTTGCTCGTCAATTACAACAGAAAAAAAAAATATTGAACCAATAGTTTCAAAATTTTAGGTTAGCTTGAGTGGCAAAACATCTATCCCAATCTAAGCTTCTTTTCAATGAAACCATTTTCGTATTTTTAAAATAATAACCAGAAGGCTGAGTTCAAACAATTTTTCTAAACAATGAAAAGGAACAATAATGGCATGAAAACATCTGGAAACGCAGTTCCACAGATCCGTTCGTTAATATATAATTTAGACTCTGAGTTAATGGATTTGTCGTCCAAGTATACTGTGAGATATAGTTCTTTTGAACCTCCAATGAAGTTGAATAAGCCTTCGATTGCTACTTGCCACGCGTACAACAAAACTGAAATGCAACTTCGATCTAACATGTATTGTTCCCAGGCCGTTGATGCCTACAGAACTAAAAAGATATTTTTAGTTTATGGAAACTACAACACCGTACGAACTGAGTTACTTAAACGTGGCTGGAAGGAAAAACTTCCTCATAACCGTTTTGGTTTGTTGCAGCAGTTGTCAGAGGATGCCATAATACAATGCGTCAGGCCGGGCAATGACTACGAAAAAGTTATTTTATCGAAAATTATGCATCACTTTCCAGCGTTTTTTATTTGGCAGCCTAAGGGTATGATTGATAATTGTAAGGATGTTCTTCCACATAGAAATCGAGTACGTCGTGAGGCCAAGTTAGATTTCTCGACAAAAATTGGTCTAATTGGTTGCACTGAGCACGAGATATGGTTTCAAACTGACGGAACACGTATGAGATATCCGCGATTTTATAGAATAGGTGGCACTGCAGAGGAACGACAAGCATTTATTGATGATTTCCGGCAAACACAGTGTCGCTCCTTTATACAATATTTATCAATGAATTTGCACAGCCCAGATTTGAACATCGATGCAGAGAATGGGACAGTGCCTGCCTATATAGTAACATTTGCTGTAGACTGCTTGAAAAAGTATGTTGAGGATATGCAATATTTACGCCTTGATGAAACATTCAGCACTAACACAGAAACCGATATAGCTGAGTGGCGGAATTTCGTACAGAGTTCCAATAACGTTATTGAAAGGAAAGCAAAATTAAAAATGGCTCTGAAGGATCTTTCCGAATGTGTACATAGTGGTATGGATTACATTTCAAGAATAAACAAACGACACCCTGATTTTAAAATGGATGGCTGTCTTAACATTTGGATTGTTAAGCCAGGATATCAATGTAGAGGTATTGGTATTGTTCTTAGGAAAAATTTGGATGACATTTTACAGTTCTCTAATCGGTCCTACGTTGTTCAAAAATATATTGGTAATATTTTTCAGTTGTACATTTTTCATATGATATATTTTGATTATATTTACAGAGCGCCCTCACCTTATTTATAAAACAAAGTTCGATATGCGCTTGTACATGCTACAGGTTATAACCGAATATAAAATCTCGATTTGGCTATACAAGGAGTGCTATCTGAAATTTAGTTCGCAGGAGTTTAACTTGAACAATTTGAGGGAAGTTGTGCACTTGACAAATAATTCTGTGCAAAGAAAATACGAAGTTGACATTAATAGAGATAAACGTATACCAAAATACAATATGTGGACTTCGGAGCAGTTTAAGAATTACTTGAAATGTTTGTCGACTGATGAAAACATTTGGGATGATAAGGTTTTTCCACGTATTGCTAGAATTTTGACAGCTGCTGTTATGTCAAGTTTTGATGGAACAGTATTTGTTCCCAATTCATTCGAGGTTTATGGCTGTGATTTTATGTTAGATGAAGAATTCGAACCAGTACTTCTCGAGATCAATGCTACTCCTGATTTGTCACCTTCTACTGAAGTAACAGCTAATTTATGCCCAAAGATGCTTAAGGATTTAGTGAAAGTTGTAGTGGATTTGCCAGAAAATTCAAGCGCTCCAACAGGACTCTTCAGTTTAATCCACAGGAGTCACTACAGAAATTATATAGGTAAAATAGAAACGTATCCCAAAGTTTCGGGTGCAGCAATGCCATTACCAAGGAAATCTACAAAAAGAAAAATGTAAATCTTAATACCATAAAAACTGTTAACATTTTGGGTGCGGGATAGAAGTGAAAAAAGCTATTCAATAAACATCTGCACATAAATTTAAATTTTTTATTTTTCCAAGTGAAGAATTGGGAAAAAAGTTTTATTTTAAATTGTTTATAACATTTTCATTAAAAAATAAGCATAAAATTGTTAATAACCACTATTCGCTGAAGCAAAACACAGAAGAAATAAGTTCACTTGTAGTTCCGGTTTTGTCAGTCCAGTGCACGCACTTTGGCAAATTTGGCATTTGATATACATCCTTAACGTGTTTGATTCCAGTGGAGTGTGCATTGCTTGATTTGAGATGGCAGATAATGTACATATTATCAGAACTTTATCTTTGATTTCCAGCTAGAGTGTAGCTAATCTGAAGCAGGGTGGATTAAGCTTGAGATTCCACTTGTTCGATTTTTGATTGGCATCGGAAATTAAAGCATTTTATTAATTTTTTGTGTTGTGGAAATTTCCTCGTTTTGTTTTCCAACCCAATAGATACTATCGGTCAAGCCACGAGCTTTCACGCAATATTTTTTGACGAAAGAAGCATTTGCTGTGTGGTGGTAATACTGACAGACGTTCAATTATTCGTTTTTCTGATGCTGTGATAAGTTAAGCGGCATTTTGAGAGTCTTCGATAATTGAAAGGTGATTGACAGCATATCGTTGAGTGTGAATGCGGAAATTGATTTAAGATATTTTAAGGATATTAAAAACTTACTACACTAAGGAGAGCAGTGTTTTATGGTACGCAATAGTGATAATAGATGGTTCTAAAAGAATCTGTATGATTCCATAAAATGTAATCAAGTTCTTATAAAATGATATGAAATATACTTATTTTCATAATTCTATTGACTCAAAATCGGGAACGAGATGTAGAAAAAAATTTTTGTTGTAGCGCAGAAGTACTTCTGTTATGCCCCACCTACAATAAAAAGGAAGTTCAATTGTTTTTTTTCTGTCATTGATAATGAAGACGCAAACAATCTTGTCTTTCCTTGTGCCAGAATTTATTCGAACGTGACTCTCTTATCTATGAAACTTATTTAGAGTCGTTTGCAGCAATTAAAATTTGTACTTTGACTCAATAAAATATTTTATTTGATTTCAATATAACTGCCTCAGTACGACGTCGTGCCGGTATCTACAGGTTCATAATATTCACAAATCAAATCGCGTTTTGTTACCCGCAATGTCATGCTTCACTGGAGTTAAAGTTGCCGCACTTTCGAGAGTGTTTGGAGTGAGGTACCAATTGTGAGTATCTTCAGAAGTCATA